TATCGGATACGCTTACCCAGTCCAAAGCTAAGAAAATGAAGTCATCACCTACCGTTGAACATGCTCCAGTATATGTATAACGTGCGTCAAAGCAACAGAAAAACACCACATGGGCTTGTACAAATTTTTGCAAAACGTGAAAGGATATTGTATTTGCAGACCCGCCAACACACATCTATTATATTCTTATGTAATCGATCATTTATTTATGCGATGGAAAACTCATTCCAAATAGTGAACAAGGGCTTCCACAGTGAGAACTGGATCATTATTTACCAAGACAAGAGACATAAAAACTGATTATCGCTTTGACGATCTTATGCACGAAGTATGAAAAAACAAAGATATGAGCTTCTTTTCACACAAGAGATGTCATCACAGACGAAGTGTCGCATAAACTTACACGCCACAAACTTGTACTCCAGAGGGTAAACATCCAGAACAATTCCTTAAATACATGGTATTATGTGTTATGAAAATTAGGAGATGTCTTCTCAGGTGATCATTGGCGCAGTGTATCCCGGTAAAGTAAAGATTGTAAAAGCTATAAGACGCCCTAGCACAAACACGCTACTTTCTTGATAGACATGAGCCACTCATTGAGAAAATATCATACAACTCAACATCTTTTCCGAGGACACCCATAGTCTACAAATTAACTAAGAGCAGTACGAAACTATGTAAGTATAATTGTCAACTCATCAACAGCAACGCATTTTTTGATTTACTGGGGACACTACAGGACCCAAAGAAAGCATGTTAAGAACATCACGAAACAGCTGAAAATTGCTCAGCTCCAAATCGCCTTACAACATTTGCGATCCGATAAAATTGGCGTCAACTGTAAAACTTTTTAAACGACATAGACGTTTATAGTTTACTTGCTGGAAACAAAAAACATTGGATTTCAAAAGAAAAGAAGACTATTCCATGCAACCTTTGAGAACAAAATATATTTTGGTGAAAATTTGCCTCTAGCGTATTTGGAACCTGACTACACTAGAAAGTTTTTCTGTTCTCGAAAAAGTATAAGCGCATACTCAGCCTAGTATACAAGGTTTTGGAGAACTAAAAGCAGACAGACCTATCCACCTAAAGTGTCTTATTCGCCACCTGTGCAGTGAAAGAAAAAAAAGTGTAAAGAAAACCTCAAATGCTTTTAACAAATTGACAAAACTAGAACTGTATTATGAAAGAAACAACAAGACAATGTCTTCTCTTTTTATATTTATTGATACATACAAAAATAAAATACTATAAAACATTCCAGTGTTGTTTTATTTACAACTTATTTCTAACATATAATCATCCATCATGTCTATTTATACACATTAAAAGTTGACAATGTCTTTTATAGTCCTTCTCTTACATCTGTTTATGATAATCATACACATACAGTCCATCAGGCTATCTGAAATAGTGTCCTAAATAGCATCACACATCCAAAACTTTCGTCAATACAGCTTTCAAAGCCCACATGTAGTCACTTGACTATGTTCAGCGAATCAAAAAAACTCTACGGCCTTTCTTGGAAATAAAAACGCTAACCAATTTTCCTTCCAATTCTTCGTGTCTGATTGGCATATTACGAATTTCCTCTTTGTTACGTATTTGTCAGCGCATACCGACTGGGGGTATCCCAAGTAAACGTTACATTCTATTATTCATTTCACGTTAGACGCCGCTCTGCATATGAGTACTTTCGAGGTGCATAACATATCAGCTTGACACTCCAGAAAGCTCTGCAAACTTGGTTTCTAGCCACAATGACCCTTCTTTTTCTGTATAAAGCAATAGTAGGCAATTATTTAGGGCATATAAGCAATACCCTTTCTTATATCTGTTTGTAATGTTTAAATGGCTGCTGTTAAGAGCTAAGTTCTGTATACACTCAACATATGTCAGCGTATAATTAGGTTGCATCTGTTTACTATAAAGACTGCTCCATCCACATAGATCCTACGAAGCTGCAGTTGTAATGTTTAAGTGACGGATTTTTAGGTACAGTCCCAATAACGCTGACTCAGACAAGACCTTACAGATTAGTTTCTACTGGGCACTATCCTGAAAAATATTTGTCTGCGCTGTAACTAATTGACCGTAGCAATAGCGTCGTTTTTGATCTTGTGCGTAATGTAAGGTTATCGGCTGGAGTGTCTGAATAAGTTTTTCGTTCCATTAAGTACGAGCTCAGCCGCTGCAATACTAGTTAACAAAGCCGTCAACATTTTCACTCTATCTAAATCGGGGATTGACTGTCTGTTATAGCTAAATGACGTCGTCTGGATAGGATGGCATTCTATCACCTTTCTTTACCCCCAAGAACTCCGATAATAGTAGCTTTCGACTGATTATAAACAATACCAATGTTAATTCTTCCATTCTACAATTTTACCTATTAATAATGATATCTGAAACAATATCCCCAATTACTTTCCCTTTCCATCAATCGTACAACTCTCCTTATCCTTTATAGAAAGCTGGACTGTTCAGTGGGTAATTGGTATTTTCATTGGACGTAAATTCGTGCATGTCCTTGTATGTTAATTTGATTCCCTGTGTGAGAAAAGGTTTGTAAGAATACATCGATTACGGAATATGGTGTGTAATGGAAATGCATGGTATCACAAACTACTTTCGCCCGCGTTCTACTGCACTACCGTCCCGTGTGACTATTTTAACTTTAATGTTGAGCACGCTTCTTTTTAGATCCAAAGTACGCCGATGTATACCGGTATAATAAATTCGAGGCAGCATGGTATTTTACCTTGACTTACTGGACGAGTACTTTTATCATTCCTCGATACTGTAATGACTGTCTGCAGGAGTGTAACACAAAGACAGTTCTCCGTATGAAATCTTCCCATGTTTAGGAATTATTATTATAAATAATCTAATATCAAAATAATAGATAGAAGACGAAACACAGAACGCCGCGGCTTGATCTCACGCTATCTTGGGGCCCTTCTTACGCTTTTCTGCCCTCCTCAACCTCTTACATACTCTGACTTTTGCAATCTTCTAATTGCTTGTGCAAGGTGACCGTATTTACTGAAGAATATATGTTCAATTTCAAGCCCAATTTTACTGATCTGATTTCCAGCTACCACCACTGATACGAAATTATGATCGGCTTTAAATACCCGTCCCCTCAAGTCCTTAAAATGTTAGTACCATTTCTCAGGGTACGGTATATAGGGTACCCATATGGTGTTTGTGATCGTAAACTTCTTTATGTAGCCAATTACTTGAAATGTATACACATGTAGATCGTTGAATTAACTCAAACTAGTTTAATCTTCGTCTCTCAAATACAAATGTAAGATTAAATGATCACTCACCTTGTGGTATACTGCGTGGCATATTCCAAAAACTGAAGTTTTTCTTGTATATTGAACGACTTCATAAATTTCTACATACGGGCTTCCGTGTTTGCTTACGTAATTTGTCTGTATTAGGTTGCAGCATAAATACATCTTTTACTTTAGGTAAATCCAGTAGGTAATTTCTGTAATATTACGCAAATCAATGTCATCAATGGTCCGATTTGGAAACTAATATAAAGTCTTGCTGGTTATTGTCTTAAGTTGTCCTGAGATTCTATACTTAGATAGGTAAAGTTGACATGTTGTTTGCCTTCCACACATACCATATGACCTTCTTTACGCTTCTCTATTGTCCGTATTTGTCCAAATATGTCAAAAGAGATACATGTTTCTTAACAATACGGTAAAACGAATAATGACGTTAATACGATTTCCTTTCTATCAGCCGACACATTTTCACAATCTAGGATCGTAGCCAATTCGTCTTCTTTTCAAGTAATGAACATTCTTTCTCGGTGGATTAATCGTTCCATTACCAATTTTTGGCACTTGCGCCTATAGCATTCATTTGCACCCCCTTCTATTAGTTATTATCTTTCTGCAGCTACCATGACATCTTATTAACTGGAGAAAAAGTGAGTTTACGATACACTTTGAGACTGTTCATGTTAATTCTCTTGCGCTCACTCTTTCTCGTTGTTAGGCGTTCCAGTTCAATGAGTACAGGGGTAGACTACGTCATCTATTTGTGACAAGTTCATAATACCAGTGATTACCACTTTGCCGCTATGAAAACAACAAAAATGACTCCTTCTCTTTTAAAATTTAGAGAGGGAAATAATTCGGGTTTCATACACGACATGTCTTTCTTTCGCCACAACTGCAAATTTAACGCCGGGTATTAAGGTGTGACTAAGCGGATATTGTTACAATTTTGATCTCTTTCAGCCGTTACTGTAATCCAAGACGCTGTATATACGTCTTGCATTATGACGTAGTCTCTGACGTCCCTACTGTAATACTGGGTGCCTTTCCGTTGCAATTAATTTACACCATTGGAGAAAAACTAAACAATTTCCGCCAATGTTTTGTGTTGCAAAATCAATCCGGGAAATCTTTTTGGATCATAACGGGCGTTAGCATATACAATGGGCATAGAATCTCAAGCTCAATGAACAGCTTTAAGTTAGCGCTGCACACAACGTGGTAATTTATCATCATGTGAGTCTCGATCTCCTTATATTTCATTAATGACAAATTTCTGGGGTATATCCTTTTATATACAGAAATGATCACGTGACTTAAGATAGTTGTGTCAGATCCTTTCTGGACCAGTCTATCAATAATTTCTATAGCCAATGCACACCAACTACTATACTTCCTTCGTTGTTTCGCGTCCTTTTCTTTTAATATTTTCTTCAACGTGGTATCTGTATTGTCGTCCACACTACTGCCTGTAACCTTCCTTGTTCGTAAACGTGCCATCAATTTCTCTTCATGGCCCAGCTTAGTTAAACGATACATTGTCTCGTTTGAAACGCTTTTGATTTTGATATTTCCCCAGTCCACTTCTGAGATAGTACTCTCTGTCAACAGTTTCACGTGCGATACTCGACTGTTTGAACCCTACTTTGAACTGTAGTGGTCTAATCTGTTTTCGCCCATGCCTTTGTCCTAAGTGACAGTACTGCTGAATACTGCTTTCTCCTTCTGACTCCTTAGTAAGTTTATCGGTTTATCACCAAGACTTCCTAGTATAGAATTGAATAGAAGATACAATGAGTCCTAAGCACTTTCAACTAACGTTGGGTTCGTTTTATCATATATCTAAACATTGTATCTTTAGGTTTGTATACCTATCTCCGCCAAAGTCGTTTTGTATCCGTATCTTAAAGCGTTAAGAAATGATGAATTGTTCATGTGATGAAATATCTTATGACTTTTTTGCTTCTAAATTCCACTTGCCTCTGTCGTGTTCTCACCGTATTTGGTTTTCTAGGACCGGATTAAAATTCGCTCTAATGCATTAACAACATCGCCCCCTTTCTTGGTTTTGATAGGTTCACAATAGCCAAAGCGAGAAAAAATATCCTATTGCCACTAAAACGTATTTATAACCGTCATTTGTTTGGCCAAGTCAACCATATCCATCAAGTCCATATCCCATTGGCTGTCACTATCCCTTCTACAATCACACGTGATCGAGGAAACTTTCTTCTGGCTCCTCATAGTCAGGAATAAGCCTGCTGACTTTGAAGCCATTTTCGGGATTTTATGCCTCCCGATTTTAAAATTTTCCCTCAGACTTGATATATTGTTACAAATTTTTCTACACCTGAATAGCTTGCTGGGTTGGATGTGTCAAAATACAAAGAAGATCAAATATTGTTTCCAGTTAGACATGTTTATTGACAACAAATACAAATACACATTCTTACAAAATTATAACAAATGTATCCACAACATATTACAATACAGTGGAGTATAAAGTATGTGTTCTGGTGTCTTCTATACGAGGGTTGTTCAAAAAGTAATAGGACTGCAGTTCTACTGTTCACATTTTTTAATTTACGTGCACAATTTTACAAGATAATAATATCGGAACATATCCTCTATCTACAGTGAAAAAATCAATGAAATATGTTTAGAAATAACGAGTCTGTGAAAATTTCAAATGACAAGGGGTACGCGACCCGGCGCACGCTAACAGCACAATAGATGACGTTTATGACGTCGTAAAATAAAAACAAAATGTATCAAGCGTCATCCCTTCTGAAAGAATTCTCCCTAGTGTTCTAGGAGTCTAAATCATGTAACTCTGACCAGACCTCATATGTGGAGATGAAGCGAGAAAGAAAACGATCACATTCTTGTTCCACTCTCCGATAAAAAAAAGCCCGAAAGCCGGCCACTCTCCGCTTTTTCTCGTATTCTCGTATCTTATAGTAATCGATATAGATTAAACAGCCAAGAACTTATGATGCTAATAAAAAAGCGATTAATAGAATTATTTTACACATATCATCGTACATTCTTAAAACAATATGATTATGTAAGTAAAATAACAATAGTTATCAACTGAAAAGTATATTTTCCTACTAGGAACAGCATATCATTTTAAAAAGAAAACCGGGGAAAATATTAATAATTACCGTTAATCATTATTACATTAATATACTGATAACACATATATCTAGTTTAATGAAATAGAATTTTGTTTGAAACAAAACATTTGGGCAGATCTGAATGCAGAAATCAAACATGCCGGACAATTCGTGGACTGTTTACCGTCGATCATTTTGTAGCGCTTTTTCATTTGACGTCACTAACGTCCCGTCAATTTCCCGCTATCATTCTCATCCTTTCCTGTTTGTGATTTCGTATGTGCAGTTTTTGAATTGCTTGCGCAAGCTGGGAACGAGTATCCTGATAGCCGATTAATTGTACTGTGTTAATTTTATGTTTTCATATGTATCTAAAGGAGTATCGCCAATTTGTTGGCAAAGTTTAACGATCGCACACATTTTCAGTTTTTTAACGAACGTCAAATTTCTACATTTAACATTTCATAAACCACTGCTGTTCAAAACTTGATGATTTAGCCATTTCATGTCTGAATGACGTCAAGTTTGGGCATAATGTCACTTAAATGTAATAAATTGTGTTGGTGGAATAAATGGGGAAAAAAGAAAATAAATTAATATAATAAAATAGAAGTTCAAATAAGCTTCAATAACGTTTTATGTGCTGCGCCGGGTGCGTGTTACCATGGTTATTCAATAACACAGGGAACATGCGTAAAGCACAAGAATTCAGTATTTTTATGCTTAAATTGAAGAACACATTATTCGATCGCTGTACATATAAAAATATTCTAAATAGAATTGAATATGAAGATGCAAGACTCTTAGTCCTATTACTTTTTGAACAACCCTCGTATAACGTTCCAAAATGTCAAGTAAATGTTCTGTAGCTTCGCGATATTCTCGTCTCACTTGAAAGTGTCTCAGCCATATCCAAACCATACAGACAAGTGTTAACATATTCAATGCGTTTGATGGGTCGTGATAGCCTTATTATTGACAAACAAATTTGCTGCAGTTGTAGTTGAACTGAATCCTCCAAAGCCGCAAGGTGTTGGCCTAGTTGTTGATACAAACGCGCCAAATCCGCCTATTGGGGTCGGTTTTTGTTGAGGAGCGCCTACTATTCTTATATATTCGCAGTTTGGAGACCACTTGTAATGTTCTCTCAATGCACAGTCCGACCTTTCCCAAGCACTCAATTTCACGTGACATCGAAAACACTCACACACGTCAGCTTTGCCGCTGTAATACAGTCCCGCACTTGCTAACTGATATTTATCTGGTAACATTTGTTTCGGATAGGTTTCAAACGTCTTCAGTCTATTTTCGTAATATTCCATATTTTTGTTGAGGGGTGTGCAGTCAGTGACGTTCATTTTGTGTATGCCGAAGCTTTGTAAAGTATTCATTTATATACGCGCTGTTCGATTTCTGATTGGACGTTATTTTTAGAATAAGGTTATCGATCTATTTATAGTACTTTTGTTATTGCTATTTATAGTCTATTCTACCAGTTTCCACAATCATTGGGGTTGCATTCTGGGCATTGTAGAGCTCCAATCTGGTTCATGTGATCACTTTGTAAATAACAGGGCACCACTGCATCCAATTCAGGTAACACTCGTCCTATCTCTGCAACCAGTTCCTTTAAACAGGAATACTCTTTGGGTCTTAAACATATACCCTTTTTAGTTGGTACTATTTCCTGTTCTGGCTTCCAGTACTGTCTAATGTCTACACATACGCTGTTATCGGTGATGTTACAGTACACATTTCCTCCAACGTGGGTCCTATAGCTTTGCTTGTTTTGTAAAGCCCTGTCCGCATATTCTAACTGATCTACCAGGTTTTTCCATCGCATTAACGTTAAGCTGATGCCCTTTTTTGTTGGTTTGTCATCCTGCCATTCTCTAATATCGACTCTCAGCTCGCCTTTCCATTCATTAACTTGTACATATCTCTGATTACCGATACTGAACTTGCATCTGTAGCTAGTCATGTTTATTGGTCGAGTATCAGAACTCTAATGACCAGTGTTAGTATCGCACTGTCTTATATACAACAAAGGTCTCTCCTGATTGGTCACTTTCTTCTTGCATTTGATTGGTTGTCTAAAGAAACGTTTTTATTGGTAGTTATTTTTAGAATAGAACATCATTGCTAATTTTAGATATATACATCATCAAACACGTTTTATATATAGGTGACTCCTTGTTAAGGTTTATTTGTGACATTTCAAAAGACTATTGTTAACCCGACTTTAGACAAATAATCTTTGACAGTTGAATGGAGCATTGTCCGCATTTCCGTCCCTAAATAAACACACGCCAGACATTGTGGCGACTTTAAGGGGATTAACTTTAACTTTTCAATAGGCCATTGTTAGTGTTTCCGTCTCTCAATAAACACACGCCAGACATTGTGGCGACTTTAAGGGGATTAACTTTGACATGTTTACTTTTCATTGTGGAACATCCGTCCTTAAATAAATAAACGCTCGACAATGTGACTATGATCACGTTCGTTGCACTCGTGACCTAATCTAAATATAACTTATGATGTCGCTTGTAAAAACAGGTCCGAGCATGCGCAATAAGTACAATTGCATGTATGATTGGAGTCATTTTATAACCGGACGTCTAGCAGGAAACATCGTCAACAAAAGTATTATTTTCAGGTAAAATATATTTATTTTATACATTGTTTAATGTTTAAGTTTAAATGAAATGAATAATTTCGTTTTATATATTTATTTTTGCATCAATATAGTTCGTTTTAATTCAATCCTTGTATGGATAAATCTATATGATATTTAAATATATTTCGTATATAGTTCTTTTTATCTTTATTTTGACATGTTATAAGTACTTTTTCACTAATATTGTTCAACAATTTATTTACTTATACTGTTTGATAAGTTTTGATAAATAAAAATAAAATTGATTTCTCTGTATTATCTTGTCATCTCTCCGTTTAGGGCTTAGCACCTGACCCTCAATGTGCGCGACCACGCCCTAAATCGTGTATACAAGTCAGCTCTGTATACTTCTGGGAGATATATTTTATTCACGTTTCTATTTATAATAAGATAATGTTATTCCAAAATGGCCGATGCGCATCTGTTATTCAACCTGGCGCCGCGCATGTGTAGTGAGGTCATTTCTTCTATGCAAATTAGTTACTATTAATATAAAACAAAATGGCCGACGCGCATGCGCAGTCGTGACGCTAAAGAGGCGCATATACTACTTATGCCAATTCGGCACCAGGTAGGAATTTCGGCTTTTGATTTTCAAGTTTGCTTCATTTTTTCATAATTCACATTATTTCTGCAGATGGTAAAAATATTAAGTAGATCTATCTATGTACCATTACATCAAAGAGCTTGAACTTCCTCCAGAAAACGTGGTGACTATAGTTTTACCAAAAGGGCAAAAGTGTCAGATACCATAGAAGTACATAGCTAAACATAAATATATAAAGAAGATATTTTTTCGTTTGAGTGGAATATGGAATATGTTTTCACAAAACATGATAAAATATGCTTGTGGTATTTTATCATGCTGAGTAAAAATGTATATATCTACCATATTTCATGAAAAACGAAAAAATAAACTTCATAATCAAAGAAATATGGTAACGAATCCCCTTGCTTGCTACGCATCTGCAGTTGTACAGGGATTTAACTCAATACAGGATTGGAGCAGTACCTCTAGACGCTTGCAGAAATCATAATCACAAAGTAGACAAATATTGTTTTTTTCGCCGATTTTTACATTTTTCATTCTTTATCATACATAAATCGGTGTGAAAAGATGAATTAGACCTTTAAAAGTTCATTTCGTTTGGTAAAAAGGCAAGATTTTAGCATTTTATCATTCAAGCGCCTTGTCCGGTATATACCGGAATACGGTATTTAGTGAGGTGCTCCTATCCTTTTTTCTGTCTCACTCTGTACAACGCGCAGTAATATATTGTGCATGCGCTGGTTGGCGCTTTACTGTACATAACAACTCTTTAAACGTCTGTATAGCGGTAATAACTGAATTTCAGATATTGGTGTTCGGATTTATTTTCTTTGTTAGACCATTTTCTACCATTCTACACAAAATTCAACAAAAAAATGTTTTTTTATTTATCTTTTGTTTCAAACAAAATGGCGAAAGAAGTCCCTTGAAATGAATATAAGTTTGACTCTGCCCACTTTTATAGCGAGCTCGACGAGCTGGCCCGAAGGGCCTGCTCGCAAGGCGAGCTTTACGGTAAAGCGAGTACCTGCTAAGAGATGGTTTTGAAAACTTTTGTCCGAAGTACCGAATTGGACACATCGCAACTTTTCGAATTTAAAGATAACGTTAAAAACTGAGGAAGTTTGACTGAAAACGGATATGTAGACTGGTCACCCGCGCATGTGGATGGGAACCATAATTGGACAGGGAACCAGAATAACGGATGCTGTATAAAATATCGAATGACAGTTTTAAAACGGAAAATGTAAAATGAAAATTGAACGATTATTTTAACCAACTTTTCCCTCTTTTTTTTTGAAGAAACAAAACATTTTAACACTATCGGAAATTTCTCTATATAAACAAAGAAGGCCCGAAGCGTGCATTATTCTACGACAATGTACTCGCCGTACTTATTATCTCCCCGTGTATTTTCACATTGAAGGCGCCATTTTGTTTGAAAAATCTGTAGTACATCGAGCTCGCTTTGAGGCTTTGCCTTTTTCATATTATTTATATTTCATATTTATTTTTTAACAAATATGAAATATACAAGTAAATCAAATATATTTAACTGATAAAGCACCGTATTTAATTGGTAAAATTAAATGATATTTATTATTTAAGTTACATCCACGACAATGCGGGTTTATTTCTCCGTGAACACGCCAACAGGGCATCTGTACAGTGACCACCATCCCGTGTTCTCAAAGATTGTTATTAATGAGGGAAACGCCTATGACATATCTACTGGAACATTCAATGTCCCAGTTCCAGGCATCTACCAGTTCTTTGTAACGTTTGTTACAACCCATTCCACTACACAGTGTTTTATAAGGAAGAATAGAGACGTTCTTGTTTATGCATTGACAACAGCAAACACAGACTGGAAGTCGGCGTCTGCGTCAACCTTCGTACATTGCGTCACTGGTGACGTCATAGATATCTAGTGCGGCGGTTGGGAATACGTGGATCACAATCAGACATCGATGTTCAGTGGTGCTCTAGTTTCAGCTGACTAGGGAGAAACATAAAAGCTTAGAAATATCTTTTGTATTTGTTATTTTATTTTTGATATATTCATTTTTTAACGTTAAGTAGGCTAACATTAATTTCTTCGATTCGTTAGATTTATGATAAAACGTCCTTGTCAAATGATGCAGACCTAGATCCTACATGTACGCGTAGAAAAAGGGCCATATGTACACATATACTTTATATGATATAATATATCAAAGGGTGTATTCCGTAAAATTGTCTACAGGATGTAACAATTATGGTGAAACAAAACAATGTCCGCACTCACATATTTTCATGAAATGAAGAAATTATAATAAATTATAAACTTTCCCAATGTTTGTCAAAAATATCTACCTTGTAATTTTCTTTTTGTAAAGCTGAGAAACCTCTATGGACGCTCTTTTTTAAGTTCATTTTACAATATCATATGTACTTCTTTACAAATAACAGCAAAACGTTGTTGAATAATCTGCATTTTGTTAGCCTAAAAATGTATTCTTGTCAAATGCAAATGTGTATTTTAAAAAAGACCATGAATTATATCAAAACAGTCCACAGTCGCAAAAGAGATGTTGTAAACTTTCAGCATTATTGTTGCAAAAACTGCAGTTTGGATTATCTTTGATCTTTGTATTGTATCTTATAAAAATGTCTGTTTGCGCCAACTATTCTGTGTACAATTCTGTATTGAAATGATTGTAAATGCGTGTTTTGGTAGTGTCAAATATAAGTGAAAACATTTTGTTAATTTCTTCAAATTAAGTATGTATTGCGTCTATGTTCCCATTTAAGTTTACACTGTACATATATTTTATTTACCACACACCCGTGCCGATTTTGCGACTCCGTAAATATGGTATTGCACGGCCGTGCATATATTTTGACGTGACGTCATTAGCGTTATACAAACAAAGAGTAAAGACGCGCTAAATGTTAGCGTTATACTTTAGGCGCGTCAATGAAAAATGACTCTTATTTCACTTTAAACGGTCTTTATTTTGGGTATGTGATAAATAGAATATTAAATTCGTGTAAGTTCATTACTGAATTTATTGCACTCGTTGAATAAAAATATTATGCTCGCCAGAGGCTCGCATAATATAATTTTATTCAATTCGTGCAATAAA